AGGAAGGAGTTAGAGCTGATGCAGAGGAAGAATGGAGGTAGGCGAAAGCCACTGTTGAATCCTCTGAGAGATCCGCTCAGACTTGCACGAATCAATCTGTCGTCATCAGAAGGATCTCCATCGACTAGAGCAAGAGAAGGGTGAGTTCAGGCGGCAGTCAGTGTGGAAAAATATGCACATGGTCAACTACGTGTGTAGGAGACATTCGTGGAAATTTCGAGGAAAATTGAGGAATTTCTTATTGGTTTCTGTACACTTCTACTCGAATTCGTATAGAAACTTGTATAATTAGTGAGGAAACTTCTGGTTTCGGCTGACCAAAGCGATCATATATTCCAACACTGGAGGCAGTAGATTGTGAAGGGAATTCGACTTGGTTGTTGTAGCGGCTGCTATAGTGAGAGAGGAGGAGCTCAGACGTCAGCTTGCTGAGGGGAAGAGGAAGGAGGAGACGTGTAAAACGACTGAAGTAATTGCTGAACTTTTTGTTTTTTTTCTGGCAGTCTTGTTTTGTTCTAGGAAGCCTCTAACCAAGTTACTGATTTACAATCCCGCTTGGAGGAGATAACCCAAGACTTGAGCGCATGTCAGCGAGAGCTTGAGGCGTCGAAGGATGAGGTATCCTCCTGGCTCTATAGGAGGCCTCGTATTGATGACCGATGGGGGTGTCAGGTCAGAAGTCTGAGCATGGTGAGGAGCGGAGATGCTGTCGTGAAGCACTTGAGGGCAGAACTTGGGAGGGCGAATAGAACGGTGGGGAAAGCCTTGGGATTTGATGCTCGGATGCACGTCATCGTGTAGGTAGACGAACTTAGGGAAAAATTACGCGAGTCGAAACGGAAACGAACGTCGTTGAAGATGGATGTCGAGCGACTTCGCAGTGGGAAGGCTAGGGACGTCGTAACGCACAGGAAGGGCAGTGTTGGTCAATTTATGTCTGTCCTGTTGCAGTCGTTCATGCAAGCAGTAGAGCAACTGAGGGATGTGGCCAGTAACATGCAGCAGGAGATAGAGAACCATGTGAGACTCTTGAAGATCTGTGGAGGATGTTGTCGTTGGTGAGGTATCCCGTCGGGGTGTTGAGACTTGCGAGGCGCTGCGATGCATGCGGGAGGAGAATGAGCAGCTGCGGGTGGAGCTGGCTTCAGCTAAGCAGGTGGGTAGCGTGCTCGCTGGGTACACTCTTAGTCGTGGTCCCATTTAGGGGGAGAGGAGGGAGGAAGGTGTTGAAGGACTTGAACGAGAAAACGAGTGAATAGTCTGTGGAAATGGTGGAGATTCAGGACGATAACTTCAGGCGACTTCGAGCCGAGTTGGGCCATCGAAGCGCTCGAATACTCTCGTCGCAAGAGGAAGTCCGGAGGCTTCGAAAACAGATGGCGAGGATTATGTTCGAATCGCAGGATGGTGATCAAGGCAATTGCCATACAAACTCGAAGTAGGCCACTGTCGTCTTTGATGAGTTCGAGAGACTGGGTTAAAATAGTAGCACTTGGCTCGACTACAGCACTTCGTTGCACTTGACCTCTTCCCTATTTGGTTTGCTGCAACGCTCCGTCGTCCCATTAGGCTCCTCCCTCATCGGCCGAATACTGCAACACCGACTCCTAAGCGATGGAGGCTTGGGGGAGGCAGGGAAGGTAACTGTTGGGATAGGCTCGTGACAATATCTCGCGGGTTGATAGACTCTATATCGTGATAGGAGGGGACTTATGTGTCAGGAGCAGTGCCGGAGTCGCTACCTTCTTCAGCCTCGCCTCCCATCATAGCTCCTGTCGCTGCGACGAGCGGACAAGTTGCTGGACAAGTCGGTCCATCAGGCATGGGGAAGAGCGATACGTAAGTGCATTATCATCACTGTGAGCAGTCATCGTCATTATTGTCAGACAACCGCGGTCCTCGAGCGGTCGACGACACCACCCGAGTCCTCTATTGAGGCGTCTCTATGGCTCTTCGTACCAGGCCAGGAGCTCGTTCTGAGCTGTCAACATGCTACTATTTAGACTTGCAAGGCGTCAATAAAACTACCAATGGTGTTCCTTTATCCTCAGCTAGGGTCTTGTGTTTGAGTCCTGAGGCTTCAGAGAAGGTCGCTTGCGGAGATCCATCCCGCATGCCCGTGTCACCGGCACCTGACCATTACTCGGGAATTAAGCTCAATGAACGGTTGGTATCACAAGAGCAAGTACTTAATATTTCATCGATTCTGATGGTGATTATCATCAGCTCAGATCGATACGCTGATGAGTGGTAAGAAGGTGGTCCAACTGCGAGACCTGAAGTAAAACGAAGGGGTAACGATAGTTCGACTGATGTTGTAAGGTTCGAAGTGAAGACCAAGGTGGTGGAGCAGGACCGTGTCTTCGTTGGTATGATATTCAAAGTGGGGGCCACTCGTAGTGGTACGTTAGGGCGAGGGAAACTCGCCAGGACAGCACAGTGAGGGGGTATTGCATCGGAGTGGTGTTATGTTTCTCCTAGGTATTGTGATGCTTGGCTGACGGACTTCCATCCTTACAGCCCGACGTGAGGAAGCCCACCGAGACGGGGATGACCTCTCCTGGTCAGTTACGTTCGCGTACGCCTTACAGATAGCGCCGCTGGGATGAAGCTGATGAGAGGAGATGTGTGGTATTTTCTCAACCCAGAGCTCACCCCTGAAGACGATAAAGCGGCTTCAGGAGTATGGGCCGCTTGCGCCGTTGGCGGAGTTGAAGTTTCCTTATTTAGATGGCAGTGACTGCCCCTGTTGCATTGACTGTAGACACTCGAGATAAGATGCTCAAGGTTGGTATAGCGAGTGCGGTGGGGGATTGTACGGCAGTGATGGGGAGTAAAGGCAACCATGGATGCATGTGAGGAGCCTCTATGAGGGTCCTGTATGGGCCGATCAGGTACCCTGTCAACACCGAGCTTGACCGGTCGGGTCTGTGTCATGTCCATCTGGAGGAGTTGAGGTCAAAGTCGTCGAACTCTCGCACTATGACGGGTGCGATTGTGGTCTATACCGGGTCTATCCGAATTGGTCCTCGATGCTAGGAGGACGCCTCCCAATTGGACTGCCGACCAGCCGCTTCTCCACCGAGGTCAAGATGGTGAGTTGCAGGTACTTGGACTTGGATGACTCAGTCTAGCAGGCGGACGCTCTGTTGAGACCTTCGGAAGAAGCTCGGAGATCTAAGAAACTTGAGGAGGCGGTGGAGAAGCAAGGGCAGGTTAAAAACCTGTACACCTCTTCACGGGAAGTTCCTCAGCTAAGCTTATGATGAGAGTTGGCAGGTCCTTGAGGCTCTCTAAACAGCGAGTGACGAGCAGCGAGTGCGCTCGTTCCAATGATGGATACATAAATGCAGTCATTAAGAATTTCAACCCTCAAGAAACAGCTAGCAGCATCGTGCCTTTGCTCGGTTGGTGGTGCCCTTGTCCATGTCGCTACTCATCCACGGTTGTGCAGGGCGAGGCCTTGGGGACTCATCCACAATCGAATTTGTTGTGAATGAGAACGAGTCTCGGCAGCCGTTGGATTCGACCCGGACTTCCGCCCGAAGCCCGCGAGTAGATAAAATCATGCCAGTTGTACCTAAGAACATCACGAAGGCCTGCGACGAGAAGGGCTCTAAATTTTACGAACGTGTTATCCGCATCAAAAAGAAGCTCGAGGGTGATAGCGATGGCCTCTGGGGAACTCTCGTGGAGTCCAATTCAGGATCGAAAACTGACGACATCGAGACCGTCACAATGCTCAAGGAGATCAGCAAAATGAATGATGAAGAATTGCCAGCCGAGATAGGAAAAGCAAAATGCCGTGTGCTGGAGTCTACAGGTTTACAGGTTATCAGGAAATCTGGTATATATTCTGCATTGGAAAAATTGGTAGAGAGTACTTCCTCTGAAGACATCGTGCGCCCTGTAGCTGAAACAGTAACGAAGAAACTGAAGGTGGACTTCGTGGGGATTTCAGATGGTGGTGATGATGATGTTCAGGAACGGTGTGAAGCGGACTTGCAGACCAAGAAGGCCCGTCGTACTGTCGATGTGGCTTCCAAAATGTAACGTATAGATATTGATTTATGATTTATGTAGTTTTTGTATTTTCAGTTCCTCCAGTGGATTCACCTTGACGGACCTGATGGATCGGTGCGTGCGTGGCAATCGAATGATGCCGCAGAGCTCATTGACAACGGGCAAGCGCAAGCGTGAAGATAAGGAAAAAGAAGGTCGTGGACGTGTTAAAAAGAAGCAGCCTAGTGGGCAAGAAGTAGCTCTCGCGAGAAGGGAAGCGCTTTGGTTTGCAGGTACTACGGCCAAGCCAGCTCTGGTCCCTCCTGCCCCGGCAATGTCAGAGGAAGAGCGGACCAGACTGCGAGAAATGAAGTCCATTTTGAAGGGATAGTTGTATAATGCAGACTCTCGTTCATGCGAAAAGCATGCGGTTTCAACCCATCCCAGAGCTTGTTGTGTGTACAGCAGTACGTTCTGTTCCGCCGTGTGCAGTAATCTGGAGTAACGAAGTGACATCCACTATGGTTCTCAACAAATCGTCCAAAATCAGTAGAGAACAGAGCAGAGTATAGATGAGCAGAATTACGTTACGGACCGTTACGGCTCACTTTAACGGTTACGACTCAAGCCCCGTATCTTGAAATTATGGAGTGAGACGGACGGAATTTGCAAGGGAGACGAGTGGTAAATGCGAAATGAGAAATTTGCGGACGGAATGAGTTAGCAACTATTCGAGCTATGGAGGAGTGCATTACAGCGAATGTTTCTGCCACAATTCTAAAAAAGCAGTTCAGCACCAACCGTAAAGTCGTAAGGCTTTTCCGTAACCATAAACTTCTTACGTTACCCACACCGTAACGTGAACCGTAAAAGAACCTTACGCTGCCCATCTATAGAGCAGAGCGGTAATCATGCTTTCTCATACATTAAGTTGAGCGGGAGCCGGGAGAAGAGTGTTCCCAGAAACATTGTCATTCCACGAAATTTTCCGAGATGCCACATCGGCTCTCAACACCTCTTCGATTTAGCAAATGGAAGAACAAGTTAAAACAAAAAAACTCGATTTTATCAGCATTTTTTACGGAATAAGAGCTCACATTCGAAGTGAGAGTTCAAGTCCCGTAAGCCGCTGTGAATTGAGAGTTCGAATTCGTGAATTAAATTCATGAATTCGGAGACTGGAGTTAAAAATTACCGAACACAAGACCGATTTCGACGAACATAAGCTCACTTGCAACGTCACTTCATATACACTATCAAGACAATACAAGGTGTGCAAAGAAAATTCGAGGTACTTCCCACTGTGCACAGTTATTGCGCAGAGTAGGATTCATGAGTGGTTCTCCGGATTCATGTTGGGCCACATCAGAGGGATTAGGTACAACCAAACTCGAACACCGTTCGCCGAATGTGTTTCGAATCTCCGAACATCCCTCGCTGCAAATTCAGTGCTACTGTACTGTTCAACGCTACAGTGCAATCCATTAATTAGTGTCAACACTCGAAACTCAGTCTATAGCACTAAGTCAATGGAGAGTAACTTTTTCATCGAATGATAGTGAGCTTTCATCCGTCGGAATTGAAGTTGTATTCAGTGAGTTTGGACTTTGTTTCTGAACTCATTGATTTCTTTCATTATTTCCAACTTCTATTTGGAATGGTTCACAAACATCATACTTCCGCCTCCAATGCTGATTTCCGTTCTGTGGCTATAGAGTATTCAGTTTCCATTTTTGGCGGTTATTTACTCAACCATACTACACTCAACGCAGTCGACGGTACACATCAAAACTCTATCATTATCTCAAGACAGGTCACTTTAGCGTTACATGCAACATGGGTTTTTCTTCTTCAACTTATAGTACTCACAGCATTATATGCTGCCCTTCTGATACAGGTCGTAATAAACACCTCCCTTCGCTAACAGTTCAGAATGTGTGCCTTGCTCTACCATCCGGCCCCCGGCTATCACTAGTATCAGATCGGCGTTAGTGATAGTCGACAGACGATGAGCTATGATCAGAGTGGTCGGCTTGCTCTTGATACCTGAATAGATCATCGAATTTGTTAATCGAAGTATTCATTTCAAAGAACTCACTGTGACGAGCTCCGCCAACATGTGCTAACTCGTCTAGTGCCTTCTGCACCGCTGCTTCTGATGCCGAATCCAATGCGGAAGTCGCTTCATCCAAAAGTAACAACCTGCGTGGCTCGACTCAGCATCTCTTCGTGTGAAGACTCCCACAATTCAGCCAATAAACTCTCACCTCGGATGACGCATTAGTGCCCGGGCTATAGCAACCCTCTGTTTTTGCCCTCCCGACAGTAGACCGCCTCGAGGGCCCAAACCGGCGTCCCAAGCCACCTTGTTCCCCGCGAAATCATTCATACCAGCCCGGGCGCAGATAGAGAGCATCTCCGGCCGCCCAATTGGAGGGGCCCTGACGAGGAACACCTAGACAGCTGTTGATGCAGCATAGAGCAGTTACCCATAGCGAACGTTTTCCTCCAACGTGAGGTCGAACAGCACAGGCTCTTGGGCAACAAAACCGACTTGCTGCCGCCACCATCCAACATTAACATCATCGAGCCTCGACTGGGACAGTGCTACGAGAATCTAATACGACCACACTGAGCAATGATAGCAAACAGACATATCCCCAACCTGTCCTTCACTCGGGTCATAGAACCTCTGCAGGAGGGCAAAGACTGTAGACTTCCCACCTCCACTCGGACCAACCAGCGCTACTGTCTTACCGGCATCTATGTGGAAGCTGAGATTCTTGAGAATCTGTAAGGAATCGGTTCTTGGGAGAAACTGATCGGGTCAATGACTACCTGCGTATCGGGGCGTTGGGGATAGGCAAACCTCACATCCTTGAAAGTGATGTCGATTCCTTCCGGCATGGACGTATACTGTCAAAAAATGATGACCACCACTATCAAGAGGAACACCCACCTCCGAACCCCAAACGCTGCTGTCTCTCCTGCCAAGCTCGCTTGAGGGATTGATCGAACTCTGACTGTCAAGGAGCTCGAAAACATCGTGGGCCGCCGCCTTGGCCTCCTTCACATCTCCCAGGAATGCAAGGGCTTGCCCGGCTGCCATCGCTGCCAGGAACACGCCCATCAACGACTGTATCATCTCGTGGAACTCCAAACCATCATCTTCGACAAGAGTGGCTCCGTACCTGAGCGGTGATAGAGCCGCCGCCGAGTGCCTGGTAGACTCACCACATGCCTAATGCAATACTGAAGAACATGAGAACTCCTTGAGAAACGCCATACCAGAAACCCGCCCATACCGAAGGTCTCAGCTGCTGCAGCCCAGAATGCAACTGCAATTTTGCAAACCTGTAGGAAGACTCAACGAGTACCACACGAACGAACGAGTTCGCCCTCTCCCCACGCGTTTCGAGTCCACTGCTCCGAAACCAGTGCTCGAATAGTCCGAATATTCTGCACTGCGTCCGAGGCGATCTGGTTAGCCGCAAGACAGTCCGACGCCTTGTTCTTGTCCATCCCTATACCCGCCGCCATTTGCACCGCACCTGCTATCATCAGTGCACATCTCACTGACTCGATTACAAGAGCTACTCAACCTTACCAGCGCCAGCCATGAGCGGCAGCACTGCCATCATGACGAGGGTCAGCTTCCAAGAACCCAGGAAGGCTACTATTAGCCCCGAGAGAAGCGATGCTGCAAACTGACAGTACGCGCCTGCACAGAGATCCGTGCCATGAGGGCTCTAGAGCTCCTACCTAGCTGCACTCCACTGATGGAGTTCATCTTGAGGGCATATGTGCTGAGGGCAGCAGTGAGCTTCCCAGAGGAGTGGTCGGGGTCGTCGAAAAATGCCATGTCCTGAATGATCCAACCCTTCCCATAGCTGGCTCTCGAGTGACTCGCCTGCTCGAGGAACTTAGCGAAGCAGAGACGCCGAATGCGTTTAGTGAGATGCTCTCCAATGAAAGAGAACCCGCCGGTCTGGAGAATGCCGCCAACCAGAGCACACACCGCGAGGATGACGAACCTGTCCAGAATTTTAAGTGCGGGGTTGTAGACCAATTGCGCACCCGATAGATGCCAAAGATACGCCGTCCATCATCTCGTCCATGTCTTCGTTGTAGAAAGCCTTTAAGGCGCGCGACAGTACAAAGCCATTGAGAGGCATAACACAGCCGGACACTATTGCTCCAAAGAGCGCTGGTATGTAGTACAGCCACTGAGGCTTCGACAAGAGCAAGATTCTCGTCCAAGGGATCTGATAGATAGAGCCGAGTACGTCCTAAGTTGTGTGAAGCCTGGCGGGAAATTGAGTTTAGTCGAGAAAAAAACATTTTTTCTTACCCGGTAATTTTTGGCGATCTTTTCCACGCGCTCTCGTTCTCTCTCCTCATCAGTTTTGACCTCCTCAGCTTTAGAGGTTTCATCACATTTTTTGACTGAAACACAGAATCTTAGACCCATGGGAACTAGGCAACCATGCGAGCCACTTACGCTGGACAGACACTGGAGAGTTACCACGATCAGTTCTGAGACAAGATCCATCACAGTGCACTCGTTCGAAGGTGCTCTCTCTCCTACTCTTCTCGAGGAGCATTCGGCCGCGGGTCGGTCGATCTCCTTTCTGCAGTCTGGTCCTGTTGTGCTGATACCAACTTGGCGTACCTCCCATTTGGATTACCTACCAGGCAGGCAGCTATCCTCCTGTTGGAACCATGATTTCAAACAAGGACAGATCTGAGATCTGAGATCTCACCTATCAATTCGTCATGAGTACCCTGCTCCACAAGAGAGCCCGATCCAAGCACAAAGATGGTATCAGAGTTGCGTATAGTGGACAGGCGATGGGCGACTGATATCGTAGTAAGACGGTCAGAACGCTGTAGCCTAAAAATCAGACCAGATGCCCCAATAGAGAATAGGGTTCCCCAAAGGGTCCCGTGAAGGCGATGATCTCCTCACTCATCAATCGTCTCCTGTACCATCTTCTCGCTCTCATTGTCCAAAGCCGATGTCGCCTCATCTAGTAGGAGCACCTGAGTACCAATCGTCACAGTGCAGTGAGCTTTGATTACCTGTGGATTTCTGAGTAATGCCCGAGCTATCGCTACACGTTGCTTCTGGCCTCCCGATATTTGACTACCTCCACCACCAGAGCTCCCACAATACGTATTGTACCCTTCTGGCATAGACGAGATGAAGGAATGGACCTGAGCGTCGGAGAATATAAGTGAACCACTCGAGAGCCATTACGTTAGCTTTCTTGCACGCCATCTCTACTTGCTCGGTGGAAGGGCTGTAAGGCAGCCCATAGCAGAGATTATCGTTGATCGTTCCCGCGAAAAGGATGGGTTCCTGGCCGACGTATCTGTGGAAGACCAGGATCAAAGCTCAGCCGTAACATATATGAGTTGCCACCCAAATATTGATCGAATCGAGTGTGGACTCCCAGCAACAATGCGCAGGTCTTGGCCATTCAGAAGTATCCTTCCGATGACAGGATCGTAGAAGCGTTCAAGTAAGCTGATAATCGTACCTCACCACCGACGCATGTTACACTGTGACAGCCCCCTCAGACGATCTTACTTTTCCCCGAGCCGCTCTCCCCAACAAACGCGACTTTGGTGCCCACTTTGATATCCAGAGATATGCCCTTCAAGACCTGGGCCTCGGGACGAGACGGGTACGTGAAGAAAACGTTGTCAAAGGTGATCGTTTCCATTTTGGGAGGGGTGTACCCAGCAATGGGAGAGCCTGATATTCACCATAACAAGAAGTTAGGCATACCGGGAGCGATGCCGTACCATCGGCGGATGGTGGAGGTAATGAAGGCTCAATCATATCACTCATGTCGTCGACGGCCTCCTGGATGTCCGTAGCCGCTGAGCGACCTATCTGGAATGCCTGCAGAGGCGGGAGGGCTTGGCCCAACCCGAAGGTCCCTAGAGAGGTGATAGGGATGGCCATGGTGGCGGCTTCGTCCAGTACCCATAATAAGTGAGAAAAAAACGGCCAAGACGTCTCCTCCAGTGTAGGGCTTGTCAGTAAAGTCATTAACCACACCATCGCGAACTAACGTTCCTCCATACCTGTCAATCAAACAAGTTCCCAAGTACCCAACAACAAGCCTACCAGAAGGTAATAGCGTAAGCTCCATAAACAGCGCCGAAGGTGAGGCCGAGACCTAGTCCAGACTGCAGACCAAGTTTGGTACCACCTGACGACACCAGCAATACGATCGAGAGAATCGATCAGAGCAGATCACCCTTTCTTGCTTCTTCTAATTTGCATGCATATCGTTCAACTTCACGCCTTTGCGTGCCCATCATAGTTACTGTACGAATTGAACTCAATACCTGTAAACTCCCACTAGGCGGCGGCCAGACCATGATGGTGGTGGTCACCTCCTCAGCCACAGCGCCAGCCTTAGCGTACCAAGTTTGCGACTCGTTGGCTGACTGAGCCATAGCGTATCCCAGAACCGCAGAGGCCCCGATAACAATCGGCATCGACCCTGCCGCCACCAACGATACCTAACTAGGCTCATCCAAGAAACACAAGGACGTTCTCGTTGGTAGGCTTGCAGTCGGCCCACTCTTACCCTCCAGCCTCTCACGAAGCCCATGACGTAGCCGAATATGAACATCGAGGCGTTCACTATGCATACGCCGAGCTTGAAGCCGATGGCATTCTGTACCTGTTCAAGCAATTAAGGTCGCCTCAGTGGTTCAAGACTGGTGAAAAGCGACATGGGGTTACCTTGGAGACATCTTCGGTCATCCTTGTCGGCAACTCTGCGGGAGATATCTTGTCGAACCAGGCCACATCCCGAGAGAGTACTGAACGAACAGTCGCTTTTGCAACGAGTGTGACATGCCGGAGTCACCAGCTTCAAAATATCGTATCCGCATGGTTGTTGCCTGACTCTGTGAGGTAGAAGTCAATACGGAGTGCCATGTGAAGGCGAAGAACAATGCTGCTAGACCGATATACACCTGTACACTGGTCTGACGAAAACCGTTCAACAGAGCTGCTTGTTACCATATAGAGGCATCGCTTCGCCACCTCGTCGACAAAGTCAGCCTCCCCCGTCCCGAGAACGTCTGATGACGAAGTGTCGCACCGACCACATTTTAACAAGCACGATGATCCTACCGACGAGATCGCCAAAGACGAAGGCGAAGAGCGGCATTGCCAAGCCGTGTATCACAGCCGAGATGAGCGCGATAACTGAACAGAACTAGCAGTCAAGCTGGTAGGGACCCGAGAAGCTCACTGATTGATAGCAGCTGTCGTCTTGTGGCAAACCGGAAGAGACTGTAGAAGGGCACCAGGGAAGCGTCAGACGTGCGATGTGATAGCGCTGGAGCCAAGGGTCTCTCCGGGACATCCAGGTCCCCTACAGAGGACTCCACTACAGAGTTGGAGGCGGTCAGCATCAAGGGGATGATAAACCAGGCTGGTGGACGGAAGTGATTAGCGGAACCACGTACATACCGAAACGGCGGATCCGAAACGGGTGGACTTAGGCAACCCGTTTCGACCTGAAACGGGTGCTTCATACCCGACGGAATGCTGAAATGGTGTAAATTCACGCAATTCTTACCATCAGCTCGGTACGACATCAGCAACGAGTGATATCAGTACTAGCTCAAGCAAACTGGGAGAACGCCGAAAAATCCTGCACGTTCTACAATCGCTTTTCAAGTCATAATTCATCTGTAATTCCCTAGTCAAAGACAGCCCATGTCGTATTGCATCAAGACTTTGCCCGAAATCGACTTATGCTCTGAAACTACCCAACATAACAGTGCGTCGGACTGTGACGAATCGGATGTGATCGAACGGAGACTATCAAATCCGACAACCACCGTTTAATCTCTACCATACCCCTTAGTGACAACACAACACCACACGTTGAGCACTTCTAATACACCTACATAGAAACAACTGATAACTCGAACTTTACGAGTGCTTATATTAGGATGAAAGAACAAAGACCTTTAGTTGTCAACTCAGTTTTGCAGCTTACACATCAACGACATCAACCTTGGCGTTCACCTTTTCCTCAGTCGGTTGCCCCTCCTCGTGCCGAATAGCTCCCAGCGTCACGAAGATCACGCCAACGACGAGGAGGTATACACCGACAGCAGCACATACAATATAACCACTGCAGACGTAGAAAATGCCGAGGACAAAATAAAACCATCCCCGACCGAAAAGCTGCCCTAAAAATGCAGCGCTTTCGACCACATTCCTGCATGCTAACGACCCGGGGAAGATTTCAATAAGTAACATCAGTATACTAAAGAGGATGAAAAACACGAGCACGCAGTAGTTGAGCGGTGTTCGGAACAGCGCCATGAAAGTGAACTCGGTGATAGATAAGACCAGAGCGAGAACAGCAGCAACGAAAGCTAAGACTGCGCCGATGACACCAATAACACGAATGAAAGTAGTGCTGTGCGGTGTGGGGTCTTCGAACGCATTACGCATCTGATGAATGAAAATTGTATATCCAAGTTAAAACGGCATGTGTATTCTATCCCACCTTTTCTTTGAAAGAAACGTTAAGCTTACTATCATCTATAGGGCCTTCTTTGACAACAGACATGGAAGAGAAAAACGTGTAACTATCGTAATCGATGGAATGAGTCGCTGATAACTGAATAGCATCAAAACGAAATTTTGGACGTTCTATAGCCTCACGCTAGCGTTACTTGTTATCTGCTAATACACAATGATAAGCCCAACTTAAGTCCTGGCCCCATATGTGTGGTTTAGACTCCCAAACGAACCGCTGTAATCGACAACAATGAAATTAATGGTATCAGACCTAGCGACAACACCGAAATATCAATTCCATCTACTCTTTGAACAATACCTCGTACTATCAGGAGAACAATTTACTTACAGGCTAACCCAACCTCACAGTGACAACACAAAACCTATTGATTATGAACCCTATTGAGAATAGTTATTGAGAGCAACTTGCTCTTACGACTTTGAATCACAGTTCAGCTACAGAGAAAGGATTGCACAATCATTGCTTGCTGACAACAACAAACACTCTCGTACAAAATTTTACGGGTACCGGGTGTTTACGAAGAATAACTTATGAGGAAAACTTCATAATGAGTTTATACATTGGTAGCGCCGTTGAGAGGCTCAGTCATCGACACTTCCTTGCGATGAGTGAAACCCCAAATGCCGAAGATAACAGCAACTGCGATCAGATATAGACCAACAACGAAAGCAATGATGGACGTGAATCCATGTTGCACGCCACCACATGTGAACAGGAGACCAAGATAGAGGTAGAACGAACCACGACCAAGGAGATGACTCAAGAACTTCGCTTGAGAGAAAATGACCTTGGAGAGTTTCGATCCGGGGAACAACTCTATGAAGGTCAGAGCGATACCAAATATCATAAAGAATACACCGAGAATATAGGACAGAGGGTTAGTGACCATGTTGAAGAAATTGAACATACTCAGCAAGCCGGCAACGAACGTAGCAAGAGCAGCCAATACGCCTAGAATACGAATCAAAGCGTTGCTGCCGTTGGTAGTGTCGGACCAAGCTCGAGAGATCTGAAAGAAGTAACTGCATGTACGCATCGAAGTGTAGAATAACTTACTTTCTCTTTCCACGTCAGGTTTGGTTTCATACCAGGAGTAGAAGTAACAGCGGTCATTAAGGAAGATTTGAACGAGTTTTGAAATTCAGATACTGTCAATAACCATACCAATAAAACCCCTCAAAATATGCTACACAAACTCAAACAGATATAACGTGACGGCACCCGATATAAAATCAAAGAATTTGAAAGCCCTCACCAAAGCCAATGAATTTCACTCAATCTTGAGTGGCTAGCACTACTAGCGTGGCAGACTTCGCGTCAGATACAATCGATTACAATGGCGTAGCAAGTGCGACGTGTGACGCATTCATGTTACACACTTCATTGAACAAATCTGTATCCTCATGGACACGAACACAACAACTACAGCCAAGCCTTCCTTTACAGATAAGGTAGCGAACCATCCACGTTATAGTGGCCGCTCAGACGTTGCAACTTCGAAGTTGTAAATTGGTCTCCTCTCAAAATTCTCATTGAAAACTACTCTTGGAAACTTTTCCTTTAATATACCATCCGCGACATTACGCGGACTCCAGAGCCGCCAGCATTGGCGTTGACTGTATTTTCCCATCTATTCAGGCTCGATCAGCATGGAGTGGTCTCATTGGCGAAGACTCCAACCCTATAATGAAGATTGCCGGAATCATTGCGGCCTTCTTAATCGCTCTTATCGCCTTCTTCGGTTTCTTCAGATTCTTCAACATCGTAAGATCACAGTGATATACCCGAATCACACGTTTATGTTTTCCAACTAGTAGTAGTAGTAGTAGTAGTAGTAGTAGTAGTAGCAGTAGTAGTAGTAGTAGTAGTAGTAGTAGTAGTAGTAGTAGTAGTAGTAGTAGTAGTAGAAGCAGTAGTAGAAGCAGTAGAAGCAGTAGAAGCAGTAGTAGTAGTAGTAGTAGTGGTAGTAGTAGTAGTAGTAGTAGTAGTAGTAGTAGTAGTAGTAGTAGTAGTAGTAGTAGTAGTAGTAGTAGTAGTAGTAGTAGCGGACGTCAATTCTCCCTTGTCACACGTCCTTTCTCAGGTGCTTAGCCCACTATCGTACATGTTATCCATATTTTATATAATAATTGGACTCGCTCTCCTAGCAGTCGAAATAGCTCCAACATGGTTCTTATCGAAATTCCTGCTGAAGTGGGCGCCTTTCCTTGGTACCCTCATAGGCCGAGGTTTGGTGTACCTCTATATAGGGCTGCTCTATGTAACAGGCGGCGCCCAAGCCGGAGTTACCTCTTGGACCTACCTGATCATCGGCATCTATCTACTTGTGGTAGCAGTAGCCAACTTCGTGATCGGTTACATCGAGAGCAGGGGAGCTCCCATGCCTAACAGCAACGTGTAAATACGCTGGATAACTTGGAACGCTCAAGATGCTTCTGCTGTAAGCGTTTTTCTGTGAGTACAAATACCTTTGAAGACGATTTTCATGGTTTAAGTTGCGCTGTTGTGCTTAGAAAAGAAACTTTTGCGGCTAAGAACCTACGTGATATCACCATCTAATGAACCGCTCGTTTTCTCTGCGCATAGTTTTCCGATCCTTGTACGGCTTCATATAGTAAGTACTTGTCGATATCAATGGTAGCACCGCAATCATCAACTATCGGGGCCCAGAGCTTCACTCCAGGCGAGCGTCCTCAGCCAACTGGCTTCAAGGCTAGGGTAAGAACATGGTCATCAGCAGCAACTTTCTCGAGGTCATCCTAGAGGTGTGTAGGTACAGAACTTGTGGAGTAAAGCCATTGATGGTGACCCGTTCTTCATACGTATCCTAGGGTGCCTGGCGGCTATCGGTATCATTATAGTGTCGATACTCAGTTGCTTCAATTTCGCTAACTCGGTAAGTGGGGTTATAACACGAACTATTCCTGTGGGCTTGTTTAGGATCTCTTACTCTCTCGCAGGTCCTCAACCCGCTAACCTACATCCTTATAGTCTTCTATCTAATATTCGGCATCATCCTCTGCTTCATCGAGATTCTACCAAGTTCCGGTATCACGAGTTGGTTCATCGAGCGCGCCACCTTCCTGGGGACTCTTATGGGCCGAAGTCTGGTGTACCTCTACCTGGGTCTTCTGTTCATCGGTGGCGGCTCGCAAAATGGAGCTTCCTCATGGGCTTACATCGTACTTGGAATCTATCTCGTTGTTGTCGCGATCATTTTCATGATCACAGGGTGGAGGATGAGGTCTAGCAGAGAGACCAACTCCTTGCCAAACAGTCGGGTGTAGAAGTCTACTAGTATCGATCTATCACTTAGCAGTTAGTCGTATCAGTCTCAATGACTTTTTTGTATCATCCTGTCTTAGTTTTCAAGAGATGCGCGAGTTGTGTTGGTCAGTCTCCAGCTAACTCGGTTTATCAAGCTATAGTCTCGCCGCTGTTGGTGTGACTGTTCACTATCAACTAAGCGCAAGAACTGGCTCGGCTGTTAT